AAGTCCATGACTTTAGTGGATAAATGAACAAAGTCCTGAGTTGTAGAGACAGATTTTTTTCTGAGAATATATTTCCTTATATTACTAAGTTGATACTAAATATCTGAAGCTCTAATTCCCATCTATAAAACTGGACAGATAGAAAATATTTTTTCATAGTCACTTATGATGTATAAAGTTATCAAAAAGATAGGAGTTCCAGTTCAAAATGGAGATGTAGGAAGATCCTAAACTCATCTGCTCCTACAGACACAGCAAATCTACAGCTTCAAAGGCAAAAATTTATTTTGGTAAAAAAAGAAATTTAACTGAGCAACTTCTATATGTTGGTCAAATGAGAACAAACTCAATGAGAGTAATGAGTCTGAAACACAATCTTGTCATAAGACCAGCATGGGCACCCACAGTTGGGAGAAAATGCAAAAATAGTTTCTCTATGAGATGCAAAGGAGTTTTACCCCACATGGGGAACCACTGTTTTTAAGATCTGTACCTAAGAGACAAGTCCCCCAAATATCCCCTTTAACATCTTAAAGCCAATGGAGCCTGCATCCATAGGCCCATAAAGTTATAGTGAACACAGAAATGGTTCTCATTTTCTGGGACTAACTTTTCCCTGGAACCAGTATAGCCAAATGACAAGTGCAAAGCCTTTCTGTGAAAGAATCATCTGCTTAATTAAAGCACTGATAAGAGGGGTAGGCATCTATTTTAACACATGCCTTAAGGGTCTCTTGAAATACTCTCCAGGTACAGAAATTGGACGCCGTCATCTTTGTTCTATACCTGTCTCATTCCAGTTTACCAGTATTTGTTTTGCTACTGAGATTATACCCTCACATAGTAGTCTGATTTCTGCAGCTTCTACCATAGGTTGTCTGACTCTGATGGCTAGTGATGCTTATGTTCCCAAGTTTCACAGGGCTATAACCAGCAAAGGTTTTTAACTAGCAACCACACTTACAGCAAAACAAGAAGAAAGATACAACACCCAATTACAATAAAGACCGTTAACAAAATGGGGATAAAGGTAACATACCTCAATATAATAAAGGTCATATGACATTCCACAGTAAACATCATAGACACAGTTGAGCAGGAGTAAGACAAGGATCCCCACTTTTATTGACACTTTTATTAAACATAGTATTGGAAGTCCTAGCTAGCGCAATTGCACAAAAAGTAGAAATAAAAGGTATCTAAACCAGAAGGGAAGTAAAACTGTCATTATTTGCAGAACACCCCCCCCAAAAGTTCCAACAGAAAACTGTTAGAACAAATTGAATAAATTGCAGGACAAAAATGATATACAAAAATGTTACACATATATGTATTAATAATTAACTATCAGAAACAGAAATTAGGAGAAAGTCCAATTACATTTGTAATTGTAATTACAGTTTCAATCACAATTGCATAAAAAATTATAATTAGGAATAAATTTAAACAAGAGATGAAAAACATGTACACTGAAAACTACAAGACATTGATAAAAGAAATTAAAGAAGACATGGAAAAGGGAACAATATGCTATGTTGAACACTTGGAAAAATTACATTGTTAAAATTCCTATGCAGCCCAAAGAAATCTACAGATTTAATGTAATCTTTATCAAAATTCCAAGTGAATTTTTCACATAGAGCAAACAAATCTAAAATTTGTAAGGAACCACAAAAAGTCAGAATCACCAAAGCAATTCAGAGGAAGAACAATGTTGGAGGCATCAAGCTTCCTATCTTCTAACCATATTACAAAGCTATACTATTCAAAACCGCATGATATTGGAATAAGAACAGACATATGCATCAATGGAACAGAATAGGGACTACAGAAATATACACACACATGCATAATAATTAATTTATTATAAAGGAACAAAGAATATATAATGGGGAAAGAATAGTCACTTCAACAAATGGTAGTGTGAAAACTGGATAGGCAGAGCAAAAGAATGAAACTGAACTACTATATTATACGCTACAGAAAAAAATAACTCAAAATGGATTAAAAACTTGAATTTAAGACCTAAAATCAAATACCTCTAGAAAAAGACATGGGCATAAGGCTATGTGATATCAGTCCTAGTGATTTTGGTAGATATTACTCCAAAATCAAGGCAACAAAAGCAGAAACAAATGGACTACATAAACTAAAGGCTCCTTCATAGTGAAGAAACCATTATTAATGTAAAAAGGTCACCTATAGAAGAGAAAAAAACTACTGCCAAATCATTTATTTAATAAAGCATTAAGATCCAAAACATATATAATTCATATCTCAACAGTAAAAAAAATAAAAAAAATACAAAAAACCCCACTCTGATTAAAAAATGGGTAGATGATGTGAATGAACATTTTTTTTACCGAACATATATAGATGAAATACAGGTACATGAAAAAATGTTCACCATCACCAATTATCAGGGAAATGCAAATCAAAACCATGAGACAACATATCTTACACCTATTAGAATGGTCATTATCAACAAGACAAGAAATTATAAGTTTTGGCAAGGACATGGAAAATGGTCAGTCCTATACACTGCTGATGGGAAGGTAAAATGGTGTGGCCACTGTGGAAAACGGTATGGTGATTTCCTCAAAAATTAAACAGAAAATTACCACAGTATCTTGCAGTTTTAATTCTTGGCATATACTCAAAAAAATAAAATGCAAGGACACATATGGGTATTTATATACCCATGTTCATAGCATCACTATTCATAATAGCCAAAAGATGAAGCAACCTAAATGTTAATTGATAGGGTAATAGATTAAAAAAAAAATGTGTATCCATCCGATGGAATATTATCCAGACTTAACTGAGAAAATTCTGTCATATACTACAACAGGAACTTTGAAAACATTATGCTAACAGAAATAAGCTAGTCACAAATGAACAGACATTGGGGTTTACATTTGGGAAGAAGAACCATTTGTTTAGATGGATGGTGGTGATGGTTGTACAGCAATGGGAATGCACTTAAAGTTACTGATTTATATACTTCAAAAATTTAATATGATAATTTTATGTTTTTTGCACAGTGAAATAAAATTGTAACATCTATAAATTTGAAAATATCACATTCTACTGTGGAAGAAGTCTACTTCATTGAGTTGGAAATTTCCTTGAAGGCTCACCTACCCCAATTCATTATGATGGATTCAGACTAAGTCAGGGGGACATAAGGTTCAAATGTTGTAAGGAGAACAGGTCTTATCACATACTGCAAAGAAATAACATCCCAGTTATCCGCCATGTTATAGGCACTGCATTTGTAGTAAACACAAAAATAAAGATGAGAGTGTAGCACTAAAATAGAAATGTTAACAGCATATTCCATAAAATGTTATTAGTGGCAGGTAGCATGCATGTTCAGGGGGCTGATGCACAGAGGAGCAAATCTTGGCTTTGTTATGAGATATGTCAAAAACAGTTGTGATAAGTACATTTTTTTTAATTTTGTCACAGTATTGAAAAAATATTTTATGTTTTTATTATAAAGTTGTAATAGTTTTACTGTTCATATGACAACTTCTAATTGCTGATAAATATCTACCCCATCAGATTTTTACAAAGCAATTAAAGATATAATAGAAATGAGAAAGTAACAAGTAGGAACAGATTCAATCAAAACATCTCTTAGATTTTCCAGCGTTTGCAAATCTAACAAGTGTGTTATGGCAACTCAGTTATCTTGTCATATTCGGAAATTACACCAAAATATATAATGCTGAAAATTATCATTTTCACTTATATTAATTATACTTTTAAGATAAAGATGACATTTGAGATTTATTACTTCATCCAATTAAAAAAGATACTAAAAGCTATTTCAAACAGTGCTCAAGACCAACAAGCTAAAAAAAAAGAGGAAAAATGGGTATCCCCAAAGTTCACCATGCTACGCAGCTCTCATATTCATGTGTTGCATGGAGGGAGTGGGAGGGGTGAGAGTAGATATAAATATTAAATTGCAAAAATGACAAGTGACTTCTGAAAATTAGAAAGCAAATAAAAGGAAATCATTGTTATCTTTCAAAACAAACTTTCCATTAAAACATGAAAATCTTTCTTTTTTAAGATTTATTTATTTATGCATACAAGAGCTAGGATGTAGGTCAGAGGTACAGTAGGTGAGAATACTCAAAGACAAAGTGGGGAGAATAGGCAGATCGACTAAAATACACTGCTGAAGGGAGCAGCAGGCCAGACAGGAGAGGTCTGCTGTACCTTGTGGGTTAGCTACCTGGCTGGGGATAGAACTTAACCCCTCGTGCCAAGAGAGGCACAAAAAAAACCATGAAATCTTAGAGAGCACCTGGATCCAAAATAGTAATACTGAATTATGAGGCTGCAAGTACTTTTGAAAAGAAATTTTGAGAACTGTTTATGATTGGGAGTCATTCATTATCTCATAGATTCTTCAAGCTGCAGTAAGGTATAAGAGAAAAGTATTGCAAGTGGTATCAGAAGCAAAAAGGGGGAGCACAAATATTGATATATGCATAATTAAATGATCCCCAGAAGAGAAAATGCAGCAGCTCAGTAAACAAGATGTTTATTTCCCAAACATACAAGATTAAACTATTTCAAACTCAGAAAAGACACAGTAGTTCCCCTAATTCACACATTGAAGGTGAACATTATTTAAAACCTATCAAACAAAACTTTCCTCTGGTTAAACACAATGGCAATAAGGATCAGCACAGGGAGAACTTAATAGTCACTTCAAAACCTATGTTGAAGGCCTCCTTGGTGGCACAGGGATCAAGTCTCAGCACTATCATGCTATCATCTGCCACAATGACCTGAGTTTGATCTCCCTGTCTTGCCCACTGCTCCCTTCAGCAGTGTATTTCATTACATCTGCCTGTTCTGCTCCCCACTCTGACTGGTGAATCCTTTCACTACCCCCCCGCCCCCTGCCCACACCTCTGCCTACATCCCAGTTCTTGTATGCATAAATAAATAAGTCTTTAAGGGGGAAAAAAAAAAAGACCCTCATGTTAAAAGGGTCTATACTTTGCACATCTTTCTAAGTGTGAGGTAAAATGACAAACTTTTGTTTTCAAAAACACAAAGGTATTTTATAAGTAACTGTATATTTTAATCTATAAACAGTGCAGCAATTGTTTCTTCAAATCAGGTATGGTCAAGATTTCAGCACAGAATGATATTGAAGGAAGAGTGACGCACTATACAGTAACATTTTTACATCTTCGGTGTAAGAAATGGAGAATTTAATCAAACCAGTATCTCTACTTTTGACCCAAATTCTGTTTGTAGCCGACATATATATATTTTAGATGAAGATCCTCCACAAGGTCTTTGGTTGGTTTTTTTTGGTGCAACAAATGCTTATTATCAGCAAAGGTGAAAGGTATTTGCTCGAAATATTGATATGGGTGAACCAAAATTAGGCCCTGGCTTAAGGTATCTGACACAACCACCTTAATCTTTCAGTGGCTTCATATAATGCAATGTGTGTGGTTTTTTTGTTGTTTTTTTTTTTTTTTTTGCTTACAGAGTGAACCAAGTCATCCTTCCACAGGCTACCTTCTTCCAAATGATAAAGATTCAGGTTCCCCAGGTTTCCTCTATTTTCTGTCTCTACCATCCTGATGATCTTGTCTTTTCTCCATTTAGCTAGTAGACTGTGGAAGCAAGGTAGTGTGAGGGAGAGCTCACAAGTCAGGCTATCATTTCTATCATTGCTATCCACATCTTTCTGGCTTTCAATTACATGACTACACCTAATTCCAAAAGAAGGTATGAAGCACATAGCTGTGTGAGTTTGGTGACAACCAGTAATTTGGACAATTTATCTCTACATAAACATTTTCATTCTCTGAGTTTTTCATGAGAACAAAGCAAAATTATATATTTATCTTGCCAGTTCCATTGCTTTCCAGTTATGTGAGTGTTCCAATGTCTACTTGTTTATGTCTCTGAACTTCAAACTTCTAAAAACATAACTTACCATATTTTGTCCAACTAACTGCTAACTAAAATCCAATCACTATTCTGTCCCATTAAACAACCACCCCATACATCCTTCTATCAAACATTTTACTATTTACTTTTTTGAAAAATTCCTATTTTCTGAAATTTTTCTCATTTTGCTTCAATTTACTCTACATTTCCTTGGCAAAACATACATTTTACAAAGGCCTGTTTCACAGCTCACTATTTCCAAGATATTCCCTTGATGTAGTCTACCTCATGTGAAGTTAAACCACCCACTTCACATATTTCTGTGGTATATTTATATCAAGTTGATTTTAAAAGGTGGAGCAAAAATATTTTAAGTGTCTTATCAACCAGTTCTGGCTGAATGGGGTATTATGGGAGGGGGAATGTGGGAGAGGGAGTGGGAAGAAGCGGTCCATCACATTTATGACCATCAGAAGAGCCACGACAGACAAGTGATATTTATTATGCAAGAGAGAGCTTAGAATGGCACTTGGTGATAACTCTTATAAAAACAATTTACACCCACAGGGATCAAAGCCAATCAGAATTTGCTACATAATATTGCAGCAACTGGTCATTAAACTCAAATTATAAAACACATTGCTATCGATAGTCAAAGATGTTTGTGATCAAAGGATACTTGAATTGTGTAACGATTATACCATTAGCATTTAACTTGCTTCTCTTTGGGTCTTCATCCTCTCAGTTAATAAATTTTACAAGTGAATATTTAAAGAATAATTTCAAGATGGGAAATAAAAGTTTCAAAGAGCCTCTTATTGCCTTCACAGGGCTATTTTTATGGAAGATAGACTTAGGATAACGTAAGTTGAACAAATAAGAATCAGTAGTTTTAGTTTTCTTTGTTTTCCAGATGTAATTTGTTTGATGCACAACAAAATCTGAACAATATTGTTTGACTTCTTATGTAATAACACAAGAGTGAAACCAATAGAATATTTGATCAGTGCAGAAGGAAACTGCATATTAATACAAAATGCTTCAAGGGGTAAAAGAAATGGCAAATGAAGTGACTGAAGAATAAAGTATAAAAGTTTACAGAAACTTCCGGAGGGTTGTTACAAGGATGAATGTTCTCTATCCAGAGTTCTGCCAAGCATATGTAGTTTAGTGAAGAATGTAATGGCTGGAGAAAGTTATTAGATTTTCAATTGTTCTGTATTTTATATGCATTATATGTATTTTCATATAATTATATAGGAACGCTTAGATTTTAATAGAGATGGAATGGAACAACTGTACTGTTCTCATCACAAAACCTTAATATTGTCAGACCAAGAATAAATCCAAGAAGCAAATGTCTATTGAATTCTTAGCTAGAGCTAAGTGTGAACTCTGCTGCTAATACAAAACTGAAAAATGAACCAGTTGTCATTAAGCTTCTTTACAAATAAACAGGATACTCAGGTAAAAAATAGCTAACAGTTGATAGTAATCACTACTGAAACAAAGTGAGATGAGTTTCCTGCAGCTTCCAGGTGTCTTCATAATTGAAATAAATAACTCCTTAAAAAATAACGCAAAATAAATGATTTATTCTTTACAAAGGGAGAATACTGCCTTACTCTACAGTTTAGAATATATGTAAAGGTACATGTATTTTTAAAAATGTGACCCTCAAGACAACTAGCTAGAAAAAACTCACTAGTAACATTTACAAACTAAATTTCTAAACTAAAAGTAAATATTATAACATTTCTAACAGAAAATATGTTATGGAAGAGTTATCTAATAACAATATTTCCCTTAAATCACATCTTGGTTATTGGGAATTAAGTTTTTAGAGATATATAAACTATAAGGCAATATCCAAATCATTATTTTAGAAATTTAGATATATAAACAAGTTTTGCCTCAAGGCACATGGAACCCCATACCTTTAGTTTTTGTATTATACAAAAGATATGCAAGAAACGATTATTAGAAGTACCTGACTGTTTTATTATGCATTTTTTCAGTTCACCACTGCCACAACCACCATACCAGAATTAAATTTAGTGGATTAGTTCCTGAAAATTCCTAAAATGGGAGTAGACGTGGAGGTGGAGGGGCTAAAATAGAAGACCTCTTCTTAAGATATCAACCTAATTTTTTAATCAAATAAGACTTATCTAATCTTTTTAAAATGATTTAAAATAGCCTGTAGCTAGTGCCAAGAGAGACACAGGCACCTAATATTAAGCTTGTCTTGCATTCCTGTAATCTCTGAGTACTTTTCAATGTGATTTTTAAAATTAAAGTTACTATGATACTCAGAGTATTGTTTAGAAAACATTCATCTTGAAATATGCGTAAAGTAGATTACTATTCTTTAACATTTCTTTTATTATGGTTGAGATTTTTCTCTCCTAATTTCAAGTTAGTCCCTAAAATCTTGGTAAGAATATTACTCAGGTACAATCAGTCATTTTGTTTGCATTGCTGAAAATGCATTCCAATGTTCTCAAAGTCATCAGCCTTCAGTGACCAGACCAAAGAGCCCTGAGCCATAGGCTAGGTGGTTCAGTTTCCAGTTGATAAGTACATGTTCTGATTGGTAACTGTCACCATCCAGGGATATTAGTGTCAGTGAACTGCTTCAGATTATTTTTGGCGGGTATAATATGCAGCTGTTCATAATTATGATCATTGTATTCTACTTATTTTTTAGTAGTAGCATACTAAAATATAGAGAGTCCATTCTGGTGTCACTCTAATGCTATGTTAGTATATACAATTACTCAAATGGATTCCAGATGTTTAGTTACTGTCATTAAAACAAGTCCCAATAATAAGCAATGGCTACTCAGGGAGACGTTTTTACCTCAGGAAAATGGAAGCATTAGTGCTGCTTACTAATGTGCATTCTGCCTAGACTCATCAATGTAGGTACCAATTATATGACTTCTCTTCAATATATTAAAATGTACTTAAGATTTGTTACTAAAGAAAACTGTAATAGGTTTCCGTGGCTTCTGGGTAAAAGCTGACTATAGCAATTTGGGTAAGGGTAAAAGGCTTTCGTAATTCACTACTCCCATTTCCTCCCTTATACCCTATGCTCCAAGCTCTGCTTGACCACATGCAATCCTGAAAATGCCAGTCTCTCACTTCCTTTCCTTTCCTCATAATGTTCTTTCTGTCTAGTATATATAATTCTCCTTGGTGCTGCCAAACATTCTACTCTTAGTACTTAACAATGATAAATATTATTTTTTTGTTTAGAATTATTCACATATTTTTCCTTCCTATCCTAAATTGAAACTTGGATTGTCTTTATCTGTTAATTTAGAATTTATGTTTGGAACACAGCTGCCCTTCTTATAATTTCCCTTATTTAAAAATGAGCTCTTGGGAAATTTTCCCTAAATGTGATCCAATGAACAATTACTAAATACTTTCAAAGTTGCTTTGTTCCTTTGAAACATGACAATTATGTTCATTAATAATACAAAGATACACCATTGCTGGGAATGTAAACTCCTCCAACCCCTATGGAAAACAGTAGGGAGGTTTCTCAAAAGACTACAAATAGACCTGTCATATGACTCAGCTATTTTACCCCTAGGTATCCACCCAAAGAACACAAAAACACTAATTTGAAAGGAAATTTGCATTCCCATATTCACTGCAGCACTGGTTAGAATAGCAAGGATATGAAAAGAGCCTAAGTTCTCAAGAATAGATGAATGGATTATGAAGATGTGGTATATATACACAGGTATTGGAATACTACTCAGCAATCAAAAAAGATAAACTCATGAGACTTGCAGCAACACGGGTGGAGTTGGAAGAGATAATGTTAAGTGGAATAAGTCAGAAGGAGAAAGATAATACCAGATGTTTACACTAATAAGTAGAATATTCAGAAACCAAACTAAGAACCTGAGAAAAACAAGCTTAAAAGCTAACCCTTGAAAACTGACTATAGAACTGAAGCATTCAAACAGTTGAAGGCATGGGGCATATGCAGGAACAAAGAGGGAAGAGCGCACAATGGACTATTGGTGGTGGACGCTGGGTGATTTGGTGGCAGGTACTATATAGTGGTGATACTTAACGGAGAAAATACTGTTACCACAATTAAAAGAATAAATTATTATTTAAAAAAGTATGTTTTATAAAGAGGAATTTGAAGAACAAATGGCTCTGTATTTGAACAAAAAAGTCTAATATGAGTTATACAGACTTTGTAATTTACTCCATCTAATCTTCCTGCTAACTTTAATGGGCATGTGTGTATTGTGAATATATATTCATGTAAACATTACATATTTAATAATTAAATTTCTCCTCTGTGTTTGCCATTTCTCTACTTTTCTCTTTATTTCTTTCTCATGCTGAAAATAGTAACATGGAGATGGAATAAAGTTAGTCATTTTAGCACTTTAGTCATCACCAAAAGGCAAGAAAGGAATAAAAAGGGGAGAGGGAATGAAAAACTGACACAAAAGCTTAAAGGCAAAGATCATGAATCTGCATTTTAAAAAATGCTCTTTAATATGGTATACAAGAAATAAACATAAGGTTAAACTCAAAAGTCTGTAGGAAACATCTACCATATTAAATCTATTAGATTTCAAGGCTAAAAACACTGGCCTTTACTACACACTAGTAAAAGTTTAGTTTAGAAGAAAGATCAAGTGGAAATTTGCATGTATCTTATAAAGTAGCTGCAGAGCAGGTAAGGCAAAATCAAACCAAATTATAAATAAACAAATTCACCATATTTTCAGGCTTGAATATATTCTTCTCAGGAGAAATTCAGAAAACAAAATAATGAAATTAAAAAAAAAAACAAGCATAATCTAATATATAGAAAACATTACAAAATTCTGAAACATGTTATTTTCAAATCTGCATGAAGCATTATAAAAAAACGCTTTCCTCCCCAAATTTCAATTATACACATGATATTCTTTAACTAAATTAGAATAAACTTAGAAAGATCATCCTCCCAGAGCAGAAAAAACCAGAACTATTTTTCTAAGAAACTCATTAATCAAATAAATACTTGTAACAGAAATATTATGAATTGAATGACAGGAAGTCAGAAGAAATGTTTATTTCAGAGAACAAAGATCCAAATATATGTTCATCATCAGATAAAAACAAAGAGTTTACCAACAATGTACACTTTCTCTACCTAAAAACAGAAGACAGGAAATGATCAAGATATGAGTGCAAATCAACAAAGCAGAACATAAGAGCAGATCATAAAAGCCAACCTTAGAAAAAGAATGGACACTTGAAAAGATGGATCAAGGAAAAAATTAGACTAAGGCACACACATAAAGATATCAGGAATATAACATTAAGTTGTCCAAAAACAGGCTACAGATATTAAAAGGATTAAAAAAAAGATTATAAGCTGCTGATTCATTAGTCAGTCCCTACTCCTCTCTACTCTCCTTTGGATGGAAAGAGGAAGAGAAACTGGCAGGCAGTAAGGCCTGTTCAGCAATCACTGTTGACTTAGTTTTCATGTATGAGGTCACAATTTCCTAGGAGTAGATTCCCTCTTTGCATGCATTTACCTTGTGCAATTATTAGTGAATTGAGATAGTCTTTAGGGAAATGTAGGAGAGAGCTGAAAAACAGCTGGAGGCTGAAATCCAGTTTCTATCTGAACATTTTTGTAAGTCCCAATTCCTGAGCTTGTCATTAAGATGTTTTTAGCTACTAACGGTTCCATCCATGTAGGCGATTCCGGGGATTTGAAATGAACAGATACTCAAGTCTCTTTTCCCAAATGGCCAGCCTCATCCCAGGATCCTTGAATGAAACATGATTTCTAGCAATTTTGTAGACCCAGTTACTGCAGACTTGCTCAATCTCCTCCCTTATCCTCTGGGTTGGATTGTCTCAGGATATCATCCAAGTCTGCTGAAAGTCTCTGTCCCTGTTGACTTTCTGTCAGATACCATGTGTGCAAGGCCAGGAAATTCCATACCATCCTAAACTGTGTCCCTTAGTACATACCCCTTTCCTAGGGCGAGTATAGTCTTGCTCTCTCCTGAGTGTTGCAAAAATTTCAGCTTAAAGAAACCAAACTGTAAGGGATAAGGAACTCACTTCAGAAGGAAGAGAAAGAGGGACAGGACTGGATATTTGGGTTACCGAAAGGCTGGCTACAGCAAGGACCTTGTGGGAAGATTAGGATGGGTGGATTGAGAAAGACTTTTCTGGGTATTTTTATGCTCCCTACAGAAATAGAAATAGCTTCAATCCTCACCAATTCCCCTGATTACAGTTGTGGAGCAGGACCTCTGATATTTTTTCTATTGCATACAATAGGGCTTTTGCATTTAAAATAATTTGAAAGAAAACTAGTGACATCTCAGAAAAGCAGAATGAAACATGAGAGTGCACAGAGATTTCAATTTCCACTGGAGAGAAGGCATTCCAGTCTGAAATAGAACTGGGACCAATTGTCTCTTGAAACTTGCTCACCAAAAACAGGGTGCCAATGTCTCTTTCTCATAGAGATGTCTAGGTCTTTCTCACACAGGAAGGTCCATTTATCATATAGAATAACTTTTAACTCTGAAAGTTGTCACCAATCTCTTTCTCTCTTAGATAACTGGTCCCGCACTACCAATCAGTGAATGCAATCTCTCACAAACACAGCAGTGGCTCTCACTGTCCTCACACTCAGCAAGAGAAGCACAGAAGAATGGAGATGGAAAACAACAGATGCAGAAACACACATAACAGAAATACTAACACAGCAGGCCAATACAAACAGAAAGCAGTATCTATATTCTCTCACTATTGTTTTTCATCAAACTATTATTACTGCTTTGAAATCATCTTATTAAACTGTTGACTTGTTCATACCCATTATGTTCCACATGGCCAGGGATTGGTCAGACAAGCCTATCACTATAGCTATAGTTCACAGCAACGGGTCTGGCACAAAATAGGAGTTCAACAAACATTTGGATCAGTGATTAATATTATCTTCCTCTATCTAACCCTCGTATAAAGTGTTCTCCTCCTCCCTGAAAAAACTCAGAATGTTTGCATCACATCAACTTGGAAAAGGAACCCCAGGGCCACTCACCCTTTTAACATATTCTATTCACACCATTCTCAGTCCCTGTCACGCTGCTGGCCTGAGTATGGCTGTTCCCAGCAACATATGAACAGATAAACAGACAACTGAGAAAGCTCCAGGGCTTTTAATCAACAGAATGCAGAACCTGGGATTTGTCAGAAGTCAGGTCTTGTTCAGAAGTTTATAGTTCATCCTGCAGAGGGTGGGAACAGGGTGTTAGGGAAGATGAAGAGTTAGCTCAGGTCGGGCTAGGCACTGAGCTAGACATAGCAAAGAGGTGCTAAATTTCAACTAAAAGATAAATTCCCACAGCTCCTTCCCACCTCCTTCTCCCCTCCGTGAGTGGTAGAGCGCAGACACAGGTCACAGGCCCCCCACCATACCTGCACTTTGGGAACATTTAGAGTCTGGGTTGAAGTCTGACCTGCTCTAGGATTCTTCCTCATGTTTATATCCCTGAGGAAGCCATGGTGAGCCTGCCTCTCCAGTAGGTTGTGGGCAGTAGCCCTTAGAGACAGGAATGGGCAGTGGGTGATGCCTATCTCCTAGTTTCTCTCTACACATCCCTAACTGCCCCATCTTGCATTTACCTTAGAAGACACACCCGTGTTTCTCCCCATGTTGTCTCCAGTGTTGTGCTCGTGGGGCTGGGTCAGCTGCTGGGGTTTATGGTTAGGAAGATTCAGTTCCTGTGGTAGCTCTGCTTCAGGAGTCAACAGCTCACCCTGAAGGGTGTATAGTAGCTGGAGGAAGGTCTGGTGTCTGGAAGGAAGATGTGAGTATGAAGGGAAGAAATCTCAGCTGGTCCATCCTGGATCCGCAGATCATGTTTCCAGACTCACCTCTGTAGCTTGTCACGCTCCTGTGCTGCCTGTTGCTTCAGGTTTTCAAGTTCCTGAGATAGATGCTCAAGTTCTTGCTGAGTTCCTGTCTGATGCTCCCTTATTTCTGCAGAAACCTCAGCCAGACACTGCAGACGTTTCTCCTGCCAGGAGTATAAATATAGACAAGGCTCATGCAATGCTGAGGTCTTTGTCACTCCTTTAAACATCTCTGGCCTAGACCCAACTCAGGAAATAGAGCCACAGATGGAAAGAGGGACCCTTCTTACTTTAGGTAGGACCAAAGAAAAGGGTCAGAATGAACTACTCAAAGGGAGCTTATTTTGGGGGGAAGAGGCACAAAGATGATGATGATACTTATTTAGTTTGCTATGCAGAGGTAGTATTTTAAACATGTTATACTAATGACTTGAGCATTTGACAACTCTATAGGGTAGGTGCCAATATTGCTTAAAGGAAAGGCACAGAAAGTTAGATGAATGCCCAAGGTCACAGTGGTAAATACTGATGCAGAGATTCAAGTCCCTATTGGCATCTACACCATAACGCCTCACAGGAGGAAATGAAATGAAGATTTTCCCAGCAGAGGACTCAGCTCATACAATGACATGGTGTTAGGAAGAAATATTTTTCTATGGGGATAGGCCTACCTGTTCCAGCCTCCACTGCTTTTGGGCTGTTCTGAGTTTCTCCATGGCCACTTGCTTCTGCAGGTAAGCAAAAGAAGGGAACAAGAAAAGGAGGGGTGGTTTCTCTTGGTTGGACTTTAGGAAGTTGCCAAAAGGCCCAATCCAGCATACTCACTTTTCCCTTCCTCCTCTGTCTGCCCTTCCAACCCCTCACCCTCAGTGCACCTTGGTCTGGAGCTGTACAAGGGCCTCTTCAAGCTGTGCCTTCTTCCTTTGGGCTTCCTCTACCTTGGGGAAGATCTGGGTCAGGGCACTTGTGATGGCTTCCACATGCTCTTGGTAGGTGGCCTTCAGCTCTTTCCATTGTTCCTTGGTTGCAACTGCTTTCTGCCCTGAGATAAATGCCCAAGAAAGAGGACAAAAATGAGGTTGGTCAGCCTGCCTGCAATACTGGGGCCTCAGTTTTCCTACTAGTGAAACAGCTGATCTGAATGATGTCCCTTTCTTTCTCCATTCAGAGCAGCCCCTATTCCAGTCCTCTGACTACTCACGGCTTATATCTTCAGAAGCCAAGGGATCCGAACCCTGGAGAGTGTACTCCTGAGCCAAGAAGTTTTGTAGGAAGTCTACTACCTGAAGCTGACTGCAAAGCAGCTTGTCTTTCTTTCGGGAATCCTGTTCAGAGAGGGAAGAGGAAGGAAACATCCTTATCTCCTTGCAACATAGGCCCACACGGCTATTTTCCAGTTTGCTCATTATCAATGCTGCCAGTTTCTGGCTTCTAAAATGACTGCTCCCTTTTAGCACATACCATAATAAACTCAGCCAGGATCTGGGCGGGCAGTTCTGCCTCCTCCTGCAGGCCTATAGGTGCCAGGATATTTGTCACTTCTGCCAAGGCCCTGAGGAGCAAGGAAACAGGGTAAACTGTAGACTCCTGAAGTGCTAGTGAAGAACTTGTATGCACATGCACATGCACATACGTGGACTTTGTGTATCAATGCTGACAGTCTTCCCTAGCCAATATCTTACCCATGCACCTGAAGGGCCCTCTGGAACCAGGAATAGTGTGTGTGATGACACATGGAGATAATATGTGCCCTGAGCAAAAGTAAGCACGGCAAAGGAAATAAGCCATATGAAAAAGAAAAGAACTGCAATTTTAAATAGGAAGTGTCTCAAAGAAGAGAAACCGTGAGTCAAGATCTGAAGGCGTCAGGAAAATAAACAGGGAAAGGAAAAGAATAAGGGTAAAACTCTCATGAGTAGTGGAGAACCCTGAGGGCAGAGTGCACTAGCATTGGAGGCGGGTCTCAGAATGCTGGAGTTGCAGCTCAAGACGACAGGATGCCTCCATCCAGACTATCCGCTTTGTTAGGAGAAGTACATTAGGAGTCAGGGTTGGGAGTAAACTAACTCACTGGTAGTGTGTGTTGGGGCAGGCAACACAAAAAAATGAAATGGTCCTTCTCGAATGTCTCCTGATGTGGCCAATCTCCTGTTGGAATAATGCCACCCGCTAAGAAACACTGAGGCTTTACAGGGATGGAACCGTCTCCTTCCGGACACACCCACCGGGAGTGTGTGTACCTGCAGAGTGTCGGGCAGTTCCTCATAAGCCGTATTACTAGGCAAGGGCAACAGTCATCTCAGGAACCTAACACTGGGTAACTGGAATCGGGATCACAAGGTAGACCCTAAAGGTTTTACCGGATCGAGGAGCACCGATTGTTCGTGGGGACCCGCAAGTTGTACCCCGGTCCGCGACCGGATGCCAACTGGCGACAGACACTTACTCTTTGGCTGCAGCCTCTGCCTGAGTCTCCGCCACCGCCTCCATTCTTGCCCACGCCGCTCTTACGACTCTACATTCACCCAGTTCTTCCATCCATTTTGGATCCACAGAGGACTGCGCGCCAGAGCAGGCGATTGGCTGATGACGTAGTGGGTGGAACTCAAGGAACTTAGTGCGCTCTGATTGGCGGACTCGTACACGCGCGTTGGCACGCCCCGCTCTTTGGCGCAGGCGCGTTTTGGCTGATGTAGCCCGGCGACCCGGAGTTCCGCGCCTGCGTATTATGCCGCGGGCGGGCTGGAGGCGGGAGGCGGGGTTTGAATTCTACCCAGGGCGCACGCGTTGCTTCCTCTATGCGGAAGAGAGAAAAACATTACTTTGATTTTGGGCTTGAGGGGAAAGTCTTATCATTAACTTTATTTTTAAAAATCCCACTGCTGTAGAAAGAGAACACTTGGATTATTTTCTAAGACTTTTAGCATCAGTAACGAAGAACAATGATCCTGGAGACACAGGGAACAGATGATAATAAGATCAACAAAATCTGCCTGCCTTTAAAGATTTTCCAGAATGTGGTGCAGGGGGACGCTTCCCAAGCAGATCCCAGCAGGGTACCAGCGTTGACATTATGGAGATGAAATTCTGGGGACCCAAAGCAGGTAATGTTCTCTGCAAAGTATAGGAAAATGGAGAGTTTCTTAGGGAAGTTGGAGTTCTGAAGAGTTTCCTGCTAAGTACTGAGGCTCTCCTGTGTGAGGAAACTACCACAAAGGGGTGTTAAAAATACCCAGAGATCACGTAGGATCGGAAATAGTGAATGTTTCTACTAATCAATATGAAGAACTTAATAATCCTTGGCTTAAATGAGTACAGGCAGGTCATGGACTAAATAGGCCTAGACATATTACAGCTTTAGTACAACCTAACGTCTTCAAAAAGGACCCAAATGAATCAAACAGTTAACAAGTTGCTTAAAACATATGCCGGACCAAAGTTAGATTTATAGAAATACGAAAAAGTCCAGCAACCCGTAAGGTACATTTTACAATGTCTGGCATTCATTAAAACTACCAAACTTGCAAAAAAGGAGGAAAAGAAAACCAGTACTGAGAAGAAAAATCACTTACTTATCAAAATAGAAATAAATGTAGCAATCAACAGTCAAGGACATTAAAAAAGCTTTTATAACTATATTGCGTATGTTAAGATAAGCAAAGGTATAATTAAAAATAGCAAAAGATAAAGATATGGCAGAAGTGGAATGTAAAATAGTGCATGTGTTTTGGAAAGCACTTTAGCAGTTTCTCAAAATGTTAAACAGAGTTATCATTCAACCACAGTTTTACTCCTGGGTGTATATCCAAGAGAAATGAAAATGTGCACACGGAAATTTGTACAAAAATGCCCACAGCAACACTGTTTACAAGGTCCAGATATAAGGTACAACATAATTGCCCATCAGCTAGTGAAAGGAAAACAAAATCTACATCCATTTGCTAGAGTATATTTCAGCAATAAAAGAGATGAGGTATTAATACATGCTAAAACATGGGTGAAACTTGAAAACATTATGCTAAGTGAAAAACTCACAGAGACAAATTGTATAATTCCATTTATAGGAAATGTCTGGCTTTCAAGCAACTCTAAAGCAATAGAAAATAGATTTCTGATTGCCCAGTGATTGCAGCTGGTGGGGGTTTTGGAAGAGGTTGCAGATGGACATGGTGTTTCTTTTAGTGGGAAAATGTTCTAAAATTAGATTATGGGTAAGTTAGCACAGTTCTATACAAAAATAATTTATACTCTAAATAGGTATCATAGAGCTCTGAGAAAGTTAATCAGAGAGATGAAACATATAATAAAGATCTAAATTACATTTCTAGAGGCAAAAACTGCAATGTGATAGTTGAAATTAGATGGTATTAATAGAAGAGTAAACCTTGCATAATAAACAATAAATGAAATTGAAGGCATGGAAAATAGCATGAATCACAGAAAATTAAAACATAAAAAGAAGAAATCAACAGTGAGCTATGGGCCAATTTTTGATAGCCTGATATGCTTGTAAACACGTCCCTGAAGGAGAGGCACTGGGAGAGGAGAAAAAAAAAATAATAATAAGAACAAAGAATTGCAGTTTGACAAAAACTATAAATACACATACTTATATGTTTAAACTTATAGGTAACAAGAAACATGAAGAATACTGTACCTAGCCATAATTAGATAGCTCAAAATCATTGATAAGAGAAAGTTGTAAAAGCAGCTTGGGGTGGGTTGCGTGGTGGCATGTTACCTATAGATTAACAAAAATAGGTACCGATTAATAGTAAATTTCACATTGGAAACAAGGCAAAGAATATGACAGTGGAGCAACAGTTTCAAACAACTATTAGAATACAAACAAAATGTCACCCTTTACTTCTATATACAGAAAACATACCTTCCAAAAGTAAAGATTAACTAATGACACCTTTAGACATGCAAAGAGTTGTGGAGTTATCATTAGCAGATCCAAACTATAAGAAATTTGAAATAAATCTTTCAGGCAAAAGGAAAATTACATGAAATCTAAAACTATACAAAGGAATGAAAGACACCAAAATGATAACTACATGAATAAATATGTATGTGTTGTGATGTGGGAGCTGTCTTTGGTGGGAATAATGTGTCAAAGAATAGTAGGAAGCATCTAGACATAAAAATACACTCTAGATAACTAGTAAGAAGGTAGGGCCCTAATGAACCAATCACTAGAGACTGGATTCTCAACGATCTCAATAAGGTTGGAAACAGATTCTTTCCTACTTAAACCTCAAAAAGACTACTGCTCAAAAGTTAATGTTTTTATTGCAACCTCTAATACCTGGAGAAGAATGCAAAATCCTATCTCATGGAAACTGCCTGAAATACTGACACATGGACAGTAAGATAACTTGTTTTAAGATGTCTTGTTTTAAGATGCTGAACTTGTGTTGGTTTGTTTTACATCAATAGGAAACTAATACAATAACTTTTAAAAGAGCAACGTGAAGAGGTAATAAATCAATAAAGGAAATAAAATAGAATCTAAATAATAACTAATTCAGAAAAGGCAGAAAAGAGAAAAGGACAAAGAGATGAGTAATAGAAAACAAATAGCAATGTGATATAGTCTTTAAACCTTGTATGAATAATCACATGAAAGTTAAACCGTTAAGTATACAAAAAGCATATTATACATTGGAATTAAAAGTAAATCTATATTAACAAATGAATTAAATATAAAGACACAAATAGATAAAAGTGAAAGGATGGAAAAATACAGTACCTAATGCTAATTATAGAATACTGGAGTGGGTCTTTTTGTACATATGTGTATATTCAAATGGAAAAAGTGTATGTTACTGAAAAATGATTTCATAATGAGAAAGGGTCAAGTCATCATAATTATATTATATTAATTATAAGGAGAAATACGGAAATTTGTAGTTGAGATTTCAGTAAACCATTTAAAAATCTGATCAACTAATGTACGTATTATTTTTTTCCAGTACACATCAAACAGTAGAATAAGCTCATATTATGAGTCATAAAATTAATCTTAATAACAATAAATGAATAGAACCATATTAAGTATGTTGTATATGTAAAAGATCCGAATAATCTCTTCTATTGGCTCTGAACATGGTGATACAGGCTTAATTGACCTTCCTTCCTTCCCTCTGTCCCTCCATTGCTCCCTCCCTCACTTCCTTCTCTTTTTATCTTTAGATTTGTGCTCATAATTTTTAAACTTGATTAAGACTTCCTTAAACAGTATGCCTAGATCAAGTTCCACTTATCATAGGCTCACGAAGCTATAGGGACCATGTAATACTGGTCACAGTGCATTTTTATATTTGATTGTAGAATTATTTGATATCTTTTCTAATCAGCAAGCTTATTGAGGGAAAGAGTTGGATGCATTTTTGCTCATAACTAATAGTAAGCAATTAATAATTTGTTATGTGCATATTGTATGAGGGGCAATTTGTGCAAGATCTTAGGGTATTTTAGGGTTCCTGGTTTTAATAAGAATAAAAGACAGCTATTAAAGATTTATTGGTAACTATATGGTAGTTAGACTTCAATATGTTAAAGTTAAACCTGAATTCTGGGTGGAAAAAAAAAAGGGAAATAAAAAAATGTTTTTGGATTGTGTGATTCTGTTTGATGAAGCGGCAGTGTTAGAAATAACTTAGTGTATTTAGATGGAATAATTACAGACAGATTTTACGATTGAGTGAATCTGATTTGATGGAATTGCTAAACCATGTATCAAATATAATACTTAGCTTTTTAACTTTAGTCTGGATTAATTCTATTAACAATTTATTCAAACTGTCATTCCCAAAAGAGAATCCTGCTTGGAAATTAACGGGAAAGATCCTTGACAAGTTTCTGTTTACCTACTAGTTAGAGGTGTTTTAGCTATCCTAAATCTTAGATATTTTTTGCATAGTGGATATTTTTTCCAAGCATAGAGATAAGTAGGGCCTCCCTGGTGGTGCAGGGGTTAAAGTCTCAGTGCTATCAAGCTATCACCAGCCACTGTGGCCTGAGTTGGATCCTTGGCCAGGGAGCTAACCCACATGGCACAGTAGAAATCTCCTGTTTCACCTGCTGCTCCTTTGAGCAGTGTATTTCAGTAGATCTGCCTGTTCTGCTCCTAACTCTGTCTCTGGTGAATCTTCTCACCCCCTCACCTCTGGCCTACACCCCAGTTCTTGTTTGCCTAAATAAATAAAAGTAAAACTTTAAAAAAGCATATGGATAATTAAGTTTAGTGCTTAAATAGAACTGAAATTAGGCATTTGATAGCTATAAACATATAACAGGCAATTGAAGCCATGGATATGAATGCAAGTTTCTATGCTGAAAGTAAAAGAAAGGATGGCTGGAACCAGAATAGTTGAGTAATTGACATAAGATAAATTTGTAGAGAAAGGATGGACTTATAAGAGAGAAAAACCTGCAGTGATAAGAGAAAAAGCAACCAGTGTGTGGGGGTATATCATGGGTAAAAAAACAAGTAGTTTTCCAAAGAGAAGGAGTTTCTCATATGAAATCATGCTGACAGGTCAAATGATATGGCAGGGAAATTATTGATAAAGGATTTAGAAG